GATGTGTATGAGTCTTTTGTCTACATGTATGTATGTGTACATGTGTGCCTGGTACCCAAGGAGGATAAATGAGGGCATTGCACCCCCTGGAAATGGAGTTACAGATGACTGTGACTCACCATATGGGTGTTGGGAACAGAACCTGGGACCTCTACAAGAACAGCAAATGCTCTTAACCACTAAGCCATCTCTCCAGTCTTGGTTACCTTTTAAATTCCATATATATACTTGTCCCTTGGTATCCATAGAGATTGTGCTACAGAACCCCACCCAAATACTGGGATCAGAATGCTCAAGTCCTTCATAGAAAACAGGATTTGCACAGAATCTATAAATACACTTTGTGTATTTTAAGATCATCTCTAATGCCCACTACAACACAAATGTTATATAAATAGTTCTGTTGAAGTTTAGAGAACGACAAGAAAAAGTTTGCATGTGTTTAATACAGACAACACATAATTTTTTTTTAATTATATAAGGTGGACATTGGTGGTGCACACCTTTAATCCCAGCACTAGGGAGGCAGAGGCAGGCGGATCTCTGTGAGTTCAAGGCCATCCAGAACTGCAAAGTGTATGCCAGGATAGCCAGGGCTACTCAGAGAAACATAGGGTTTCACATAGCCTAAATCATCTCTGAATTAGATATATAATCTAGGATGACTTTTACACTCCTGCCATTATCTCTCAAGCAGTATAATTACAGGCATGTGCCATCATGTCCAGATAAAAAGAAGTATTTTAAGAATTACATTCTTTGCCAGGTGGTGGTGGTGGTGGTGGTGGTGGTGGTGGTGCACGCCTTCAATCCCAGCACTAGGGAGAGGCAGACAGATCTCTGAGTTCAAGGCCAGCCAAGTCTACAAAACTACACAAAGAAACCCTGTCTCAAAAATTACTTTCTCTGCTCTTCCCTTCCATTCAAGGGTCTTACCTCGAGGTCCCAGAGGAGTTCGAACACCCAGCTGGCCCATATCTTGAGGAGGCCGAGGGACTGCAGTGCCCATCTTGGCAATCTCCTGCTGCCGTTCCTGCTCCATTAACACAGCTGCCTACAAGAGGGACATGAAGACTCAGCTTGAAAAAGAATTTGGCCCACAGCCCCTAACAAATGGGTTCCTTTTTTTCCAAAGAGTATAATCAAAAGCCATCGACGCACTGACAATTCTCTACTCCTATATTTGCATGTTACTAATAAAAGTAGAAACTTCTTACCACAATGGAGAATTCCTAGAAACTAATGAGAAAAACCCTAGGAAATTTCTGGTTCCCTGAAGAGAATTCACTGTTTAACTAAACACTATCCTCTATTTTTCAATGAGTTTTCTTCCCCTAAAGATCAAACTACTTAGAAAGAACCATGAGTCATTTTCTTATAGCTACCTTAAAATCTGCCACAACCTAGACAAAACTACTACTACACACATATTTCCATACTTGTTTTTAAGAATTACCCACTGGGTAAAATTGATGTGGGGCAGAGCATCTGCACTCATCATAATCTACATCAAATGCAAAGGACTAAATGATGCTATGTAGTTCTAGCAGTAATCAGCCCGATAGCTCACGCCTTTGATCCTAGAGCTCGGGAAGCATTGGCTGGCAAATCTCTTGAGTTTGAGGCCAGCTGGTCTATAGAGTGAGTCCCAGGACAGCCAGAACTACACAGAGAAACCTTGTCCTGAAAAGCTAAAAAGTAAATTAATTTAAAAATAAAAAGTAAAACTAACAGTAATCATAAAGTATTTTCTGTAGTGGATAAAGTAAATATTATTTGTGTTATTATCACAGGAATTCTACATATTTGGTTTAAGTTTGATATTTTTTCTTTCCTTTCCTTTTTTTTTATGATAATCCTCTAGAAATAAAAATCATTTTTAGTTTATATGCCACACAAAAGCAGATGCACAATTTGCTAACCTCTGGACTCTAAAAAAAAAATGGAAGTACTGGAACTTAGTTGGTTATGAGGTAGCCTCCAGGGCAAACTTGAATGAAGTGTCTCGTTTGGACACTCTATAATGTTAAATGGCATCCTATGGATGGACCATGATGTTAAAAGTTAGGGAGAGCCGGACGTTGGTGGCGCACGCCTTTAATCCCAGCACTCGGGAGGCAGAGGCAGGCGGATCTCTGTGAGTTCGAGGCCAGCCTGGTCTCCGGAGCAAGTGACAATAGGCTCCAAAGCTACACAGAGAAACCCTGTCTCAAAAAAAAAAAAAAAAAAACATAAAAGTTAGGGAGAGAAATATTACCCTCTTCTGCTGCTCTAAGAGCTGTTCCTTCAATGAATGATTTCCTTGCTTAAAAAAAAAAAAAACTCATGCCAGCAACAATACAACCAGGCCAATCTGCCAAAATTCTTGCTTCTAGGATTCTCTGCCAGCTGTTACCTAGGTCTTGGTCTTCAACCAAGACCTTCCTAAAAGGCACAGCCTCCGGGTCTAGCTTTCTGGGGTTCCATTTCCCCATCAGGGACCTAAGGTGACCTAGGTAAGGTTTCCACCTGTCCTACCTGTTTGGCACGTTCCTCTTGCTGCATCAGCAAAGCTGCCTGCTGTTGTGCCAGCTTCAGCCGTTCCTCTTCTGATAATGCCACAGGCTCACCGACTCGGAGAGGAGGTGGGGGACCCAAATTTGGTGGGTGAGCCATAGGAAAGCCAAGGCCAAGGCCTGGTGGAGGTGGTGGAGGTGGAGGAGGAGGTTGTAGAGGGGGGAGTCCCATAGGTGGTGGCGGCATAGGAATCCCAGACAGCTGTGGAAAAAAATATATAGCTATGAACTAGAAAGCATTTATTCACTTTAGAAGCATTTTCTAGCTAAAGTTCTAAAGGGAACTAGCAAAAGAGCCAGGCATTCAAAGTCTAGTGATGCAGAACTCAAGAAAATGCACCATAGCAGAATCAAGAGAAGAAAAGGCTAACTTTAGAACACTGATCAAACAAAGCTATTGGGTCCTCTGAAATTGCATTCAATTTAAGAAAATACAAGAACACCTCTAAAGTCTATACAGGCACTTAACAAAACACAAACACACACACACACACACACACACACACACACACACACACACACACACACACACGTGGAGGCTACAACTAAAGAACCCACACCCCACCCACCCAGGCCAAAGCCACTAGTTTAGAGGAAGACACTCAAATACTGGATTCCAAAGGAACTTAAACAAATAGGAACCAGTACTGGAGAGACTGGACCAGCAGTTAAGAACTGCTCTTGAATCACAGGGTTCAATTCCCAGCATCCAGATAACAGCTCACAATCCTCTGTAACTCCAGCCCCAGGGTGATCCAAGCCCCTTTATGGCCTCCTGTAATGCTGCATGCACATGGTGTACAGACATGCACGCAGGCAAAACACTCATATGCATAAATATGTGTATATATTCACATACACACATATATACACACACACATATACACACACACACAGATACTATTTTTGAGATACAATTTCTCTGTGTTCTGGCTGTCCTGGAACTCACTCAGTAGACCAAGGTGGCCTCAAACTCAGAGATTCACCTGCCTCTGCCTCCCAAGTGCTGGGATTAAAGGTGTTCACCACCACTAAACTTTAAATATGTTTTTTTAAAGAAATAGAAACCAATGTGCCAGGGCACAGACTGTCAATGAATTACTAAATGCAGGAGGTATATAATAAAAAAATCACAGCATTACCCCTTAAAGTGTCAATGAATAACTTTGGGAGCTATGCCTGATAACAAAACACATGACTACATCCAACTGGGAGAGAACCAAGTATGAATTCTAGGTATTCAAGTTGACTCTTGAATGACAGGTCAAATTTAGAAGAGCAGACATTGCGGACTGATGAATACCGGCACAAAGCCAGAAGTGAACAGGCCCCAATTCTGTCTCATCAGACCCCACCCTTAATTCACTATATTCTTATCTCCAGTGCAATGCATGGGAGAAAGGTTATCCTGAACAGAATGACCGATAAACAGTCTCTTACCTGTGCTGACATAGGAGGAGGAGCAGCTTTGTCCCCATCTTCTCCCCTTAAAACAGGTCGATTCAGCACAATGCCCGTCTACAAAAGAAAAGAGAACTGTGTGTCAGACTAAGAGGGAACTATTCCATTGCACGGCCTCCTCCACCATTTATTTAACAAAGTGCACCCGATGCCCGTTTGCCAGAGATTGGGGCTGTAACCTTTACAATAAAGCAAAGGCAAAAACTGACAAAACGGTCAAAACCCGACTTGCCGCGATGAAGTACGTAAGAAACGAAGACCCAGCCGGGCGTGGAGGCGCACACCTTTAATCCCAGAGCACTCGGCAGGCAGAAGCAGCCTGATCTCTTGAGTTCCAGGCCACCCTGGTTTACTGAGAGAGAGTTCTAGGACAACCAGGTGTACACAGTAAAACCCCGCCTAAAAGCTTTTTAAAAAAATGTAAAAGAAACGAAGACCGATCCGTGGCCTATCTTAAAGGCCTCTAGGAAAAGTAATCTTCAACTCCTGCCACAACTCACCTGGCGGGTGTAGGTCTGCAGCCGCTCAACCAGCTCCTCGCGACTCCCTGCGGAACCAAACACAGAATCCGGGGTCAGCACCAGCCGGAACAGCCCGGCTTGGCCAGGTCGGGCCCCAGAGGCCTGTCTCCGCCCCCCGCCCGTGAGTCTCCTGGGTAACCAGGTCCCACTGCCCCGCAAGCCCACGCAGCCCCCTTTGACCGCCCCGGGAGCCTCACCCTGGATCGGAGCTCCTATTTCCGCCAGTTTGGCCTGAAGCTCCTGAGCAGCCCAGGCGCCATAGTGGCCTGGAGGTGGCGGCGGCGGCAACTGCAATTCTCCTTTGGGAGGCTCTGGATGCTCCGCCGCCATCTTAGCCACAAGAAGGCGCGCGACCAACACGGAAGCTCGGATCAGCCACCGGGCCTACTTCCCGGAACTTCCGGCAGAGCACTCCGCCACGTCCCGCGGTGATTGGAAAGCACTTGATTCAGACACCCACTCACTGCCTTTCGCTGGGAGATAGGATTCGCCGCTAACAAAGGCTGCACGGCCTTCTGGGAGTTGTAGTCTACGGTTGCACCGCCTAGAGGCTGGACGCTTGTTTTAACATCCCGTACCCTGTGGTAGATCCGCCGCTAGGGCCCTGAGAAGACCCGGCCCTCCACCCATTGGTTCCTTTCTTCTTCTCCTCACCTGCCCAAACGCATACTAAGTCTTCTGACCCGACACTCTCGGTGATGAGGTACCTGGATGCTTATTCCACCCAGGAGCTCATAGAGACTGCTTTCCGGCGCCCGCCAAGTGGGAGGTTGGAGCCGATGCCTCTGATAAAACAGTGTCCGATTGTTTGCCTGCTCGCTCCCGGCCCAGGCGTGCTTGAATGGGCTGAAAGGGGATCGGAGCCCGTAGAGGAACGGACCCGCCGGGCTGAGTTCCAGCTGCTGACTTGGGGGAAGGGCGATACCAAAATCCCTTTTCCACATTCGAGAAAGGCTTAAGAAAATGCCTTCTCTGCCAAATGTTTCCTCTCCTTTCTAGGAGCTTTCATACCACACCCAACTTTCCACCTTTTGTTTTCAAAACGAAATGTGCACCACTTGCATGCCTGATGTCTGTGGAGGCCAGAAGAGTGTCTCCTGGAACTAGAGTTACAGACGGTTGCAGGTCCTCTGCAAAAGCAACAAGTGCTCTTAACGCCATCTCTCCAGTCCCAAGGTTTTCGTTGTTTAAGTAAGTGTATTACAAATGTGAGCCAATCTATTGCCCCTTTTTGTTTTTTTTGTTTTTTTTTCGAGGCAGGGTTTCTCTGTGCAACAGTCCTGTCTGTCCTGGAACTCGCTCTGTAGACCAGACTGACCTTGAACTCACTTGAGATCCGCCTGCCTCTGCCTTCCAAGAGCTGGGATCAAAGGCATGTGCCACCCGCGCCCAGCTGTCCTGTTTCATTTTTAAGTCTTTCGTACCCTTTATTCCTACCTCCATTCCCAAAACAGGAGCAAGAACTTGATCTTTTTCTATCATGAAGCATCTAGCATCCAGGAGCCACCTAATAAATGATTGTGTGGGGGGGATCTATCCCTGGGATTTTATCTTCTTATAGGAAGAAAACACTCAGACTCTTTTCTTGGGTGGAGACCCCATGACCCTTGCCTGCCAAGCATCCACCCATTCATTTTGTCTCCTCACTTCTCCCTTCTAGTTCTTCCTCCACTCTCGATGCAGCCTGTTTGTTCTTGTGTGTGATGAATAAGGGAGACGAACACAAATGGTCTCATTTCTCACCCACACACTTCAGATCTTTTCTCTTCCTAGCCACCTCCGTTTCACCAGCTGTCCCCAAGGGAGAAGTAATTGGGGGGGGGCATACAAAATGCAGGAAAGGTGAGGTTTTTCAAGAGACAAAAGAAAGCACGGGGGCAGGGGGAAAACTGGTTCTAGTTCTCTTCATCCATATCCAAACTTTGACCCTTTTGTTACCATCACTACCCTAGGCCACTGGGAGGGCAGGGGGAATCAACGCCAGAAAGGACAGTACTAAATCAAAAATAGTGGTGGCCTTCCCTTATGCTTGTCAGCCCACTCAGGCACACCATTTGCTTGCAGACCAAAGGAAATCTCTCTCTGCTTCCTGTAACCAGAGAGCCCAGAGCAGGTCATCTGAGGCTGGAGGCCCCAGTGTGCTCAGAGGGAGAGGGCAGACAGGGTCTTTAAGGCAAGATCAACAGAGTGAATGGGTCAGTAATATAGCTAGGGCCAGAAAAGGGCACACTATTGTCCTGGAATGCAGATAGGATACCAAACTGTGCAAAGGGAAGGACTGAGAGAAAACAGGAACTGACATGTCCAAGAATCCTGGACACTGAAGTCCTTCCTTTCTCCTTAGCAAGGATCTTTACATGAAGCCCACTCATTGTCTGTGTGGACAAACATGCCAGCCCCAGAGCCAACTGTGGGTTCATGGCAACTAATGTGTTTTTAGGAGGTGCTGCTGTTAGACATCCACAAGCAGCTCTCTCAAATAGAGCTGTTACAAGGAAACAGCTGCCCATTTCAGTGCTGGAACTAACAGGATTCAGGAAGTTGCCTCCTGACTCCAGAATGGAGTAGCAGGAGAAACCAGAAATAAACTGAGACCTCTGGAGTCCTGGCAAGGTGTAGGGGTGAACTACTAGGAGCTGCCTCAGGAGAGCTGGAGGACAAGCTAGAAGGGAAGATGACCAGACAGGGCTAGTAGAGGTGGGAAGTAGAGGGGAAACAGAGGAGACTGCAAGTGTACCTGAACCTCCAAACCAACCTCAAGAAGCTCCGGTGACCAACAGGACCCAGTAATGCTGTAATGTTGGAGTTTACTGACACCTTACGACCCTCGGTTTTCACGTCTGATGGAGAAAAGTGTGTTGAGCACAATGGTGTTCGGCTGTCTCTACAAGATTGCAAGGGGAAGATGCCTGCATCCAAAGATGTCAGTATCACCAGAAAGTGCCCAGCAGCAGAGGCATGCTACAGGGTACCCCTCCCCTTGCTGCTTCTCCTTTTCCCCCTCCCCTGAGCCTCCAGGCCCCCGCCCCCGCCCCGCCCCCGGTGTGAGATGGGGGACGGGCGGGCAGAGCTGAGCTGAGCCGACCGACACAGACGCTGCCACCTGATCCCATCCAGGCTCAGCAAGGCAAGCCACCGGCACGGACGTTCAGGGCCCCCGTTACCTTCAGACTCGGCAGATTTCAGGACAAGGGGCTCAGGGGGAGCGGAGGGTAGCCCCTGACCCAAGTTGGAGACAGAGCCTGCCTGCGTGAGTACTGCAGTAGCCAGCTGGAGGAAACAAGGGTGCGCTGCAAAGGGGATGGGAGCCTGGGCAGTTGCAGAAGAATATCTTGGGGGCCTAGTGCCAAGAGAGCTTGAGGGGGTGCTACGGTACCTTCAGGAAGCAGGGAAGGGGGTGAATCTGGCCTTTTCACTATAATGATCAGATCTCTAGGAGAGATCGGGAGGAAATTAAGGGGATGTGGGTCGCGGTGGGGGGTGGGAGTGGGTAGTGATGGAGAAAGGAGAATGAAGAGAATTCAGAGGCATGGATAAAGCAGGGGTGGATGACAGAGAAGACTGGGGAAACCTGGTGCAGGGGGAAGAAGGGATGGAAAGATATTCAATCTCTTAGGCCCTATTGTGCTACCGTCTCAGTCCTTTTCTCTTGGGGACCTATGTGACCTGAGATACGCTATGTCCCAAGGCAGGTTAAGACTCCACATTACTGAGAGGATAGTTCCCAGTGGCCCAGGCCTCGGAGCCACTCCTCCAAGGACATCAGCATCAGCCCTGGAGCTCTGAGGGGAGATGAGGAAAAGATCATTTGGGAGTAGGGTGGACATCTGGGTTAGTTTTCAAGCTCTGGCTGGCGATGCCATTTCTTCTTTGGATCCCCAGGGAAAAGAAAGCAATTTACAAAACTGAGCAGCAGCCTGAGGTAGATTGTTCTGACTAAAATTAGCACTGCTATTCTGATAAGGCTGGCACCCTGACCTGCTGGAGATTGGTGTAGGGGACCTCTTTCTTTCCATAGAAAACACACTGGAGATAGGGGAATAGGTGAAGCCTCTCTGGGCAACAGCCAGGGCCAACCCTCCAAAGCAGTGCACCAGCAGCATGGCCACCAATTTGCTTCAGCTTCAAGACCAGAGGGAAACTCAGCCCAAGGAACTCAGCCTAGGGAACTCAACTCCAGGCCCTCACTGCTGAGTCTTTCTGACAACAGAAATGACCTGACCCAGGGAAGGCAGGCCTGCCTGCTACAGTAACCAAGTTCTATCTATCTGAACCTGCAATGGTTTCTCTGGCTGAGTGCCTATATTACAGGATACAGGGTTCTTGCTTTCAAATACCTGAATACCTGTCATGAAGAAAGGAATTCTGCCTGTGCTCTGAAGAGTGACCCTAGCTACAACACAGAATAGGAGATGAAAGGGCAAGTCAAGCCTAGGAGGATGTCACAAGACGGGGTGATTGGTCCTTACAATCCCAGAAAGGTCCTTGGGATTGTGGGCAAAAGTGGACTAGGCTGTATCTGGAGGGGATAAGCAGCCTAGCATTGCCAGTGGCCAGAACCCCTGGTGTTCCTATTCTTGGGGACTGGTGCCTAGGGATTCCTGTGCTGATGAAGGCCTTTTCCCCTTGCAGAACTTAGATAGCAACCTGGCTGGCTCCCCAGATCCAAGCCTTGTAGGCAGTGGATAAAGCCCTGTTAGTAGAACTGGACAGGGTACCAGGCAGCACCCTCATTCTCTATGACCAGTAAAGACCAATTGTAGCTCCCCTTACACTTGGCCTCCTTGGCTGGCTCAGATTCCTCTGAGAAATAGGGTGGTTTCCACATTTTTAAGAGAGGTAGAAATAGACTTGCCCTCTAATTATCTCTTGGGAAACCATCTGGTCATCAAGTTCTCCAAGCAGGACTTGTGACAGAGAGAAACTTTGACTCCTCAAAGGGCTAAGAACTTGACTTCCTCCTACTGGAGACCAACCCTGCTCTGCCTCAGAAATCCCCCAAGTTAGGGAGGACCTAGGCTGCCTCTGCTGTGCCCTTGTTTGCCCTCTGTGGCCAGACCCTTGGCTCTCTTGGCTCCAAGATGTTTACTGTTTCACAGGCTGGTAGAGGAAATCAGAAGATGGGACCTGGAGATAGGGGAATTGAAACAAGACATCTTTCCACCTAAATGGGTTTAAGGGTAATCTGGGATTAAAAGGGGAGGGGACACAAAAAGAGAAACTGTAAGCCAAGCCCTGAGTCAGAGTTTACCTCATCCCTCCTGGGACCAGGTGTCCTGGTTCCATTCCATGAACATTCTCCTAAGGCTGCAAACCTTCCTTCCCTTCAGAGAGAGTGGTGTGTGGGCTGATGCTGTGTCTGAAGCCACACATACCCAGGAGTAAGAGAGACCCACCCTAGCCTGGGGGCAGGCCTGGCTGCTGAAGCTAACTCTCCACCTAAACTTCCAACACATTCTGTAGAGAAAGAAAGCCTGGACAGAGGAATCAAGCCCTTCTCTTGCCTCTCTCTCCTTCTTCCCTAGAATGAAGGCTCATCTCCTGCTGGAAATTCTCAGCAGAGCAAGTTGGAGATATGTCTTTATTTCCCACCCTGCCCCAGCCCACCCAGGCTGCTATTCCATTGCCTTGACCAACCATCTGCACTAGTCAGGTGATGGAGCCACTTTTTTGTGTCTAGGGATCAAATCCAGACAGGGTACCAGGGCTTCGAGTCCGTTCCCTGGAAGATTTAGTTCCAGGCCCTTAAGACAGTGACAGAAACAGGAGAACTCAGAGCATGCAGAATTACTAGACCAGGCAGGGATAAAAAAAAAATAAGGTTTTCTTAAATTATTTTTTTATTTTATGTGTATGAGTGTTTTACCTGCATGTGTATCTGTGCCCCATGTACATACCTTGCACTAAGGTTTTCTTAAATTATTTTTTTATTTTATGTGAGTGTTTTACCTGCATGTGTATCTGTGCCCCATGTACATACCTTGCACCTGCAGGGACTAGAAGGAGGTGTCAGATCTCCTGGAACTGAAGTTACAGACAGTTGTGAACCACCATATGGGTGCTAAAAATCAAACTTGGATTATCTAGAAGAGCCATTACTCCTAACCACTGAGACATCTCTCTCTTGAAAAAATTAGTTTTGAATGGGAACAGCTCACATAAAGTCTAAGGACAAGGACTTTGGAGACAGAAGAGTAGATCTGGCTAGATTCGGGGGTGCACACCTATAATTTCAGCATTCAGGAGGCAGAGTGTTTGGCCATCCTGGACTCCACAGCAAGTTTTTTAAATAAGAGAAGTTTTGAGTTCCCAGTCTGCTATAATTGGCTGTGTGACTATGAACAAGTGACCATTGCCACTTAGCACCCCATTTTCCTCATCTGCTTAGAGGTAAATGCCTGTGGCACTAGGGTTAACAATAATATAGTAGGCCTGCAGTACTGATCCAACTGAAGCCAGAGAGGAGTTTATTCTCAGGAGACTCAGGACCACCCCTTGGCCCGAAGAGTCAGATAAGGAGTCCTGGAAGAGAGAAAAGCTGAGACTGAGACTTGTGTCCTGAGCCACATGCTATTGCTGAGGCAGAGCTAGGTTCAAATGGCCATGAGACAGAGAGAAGTTAGATACAGAGAAGTAAACACACAGGATCAAGAGACAGAATGGCTTTGGTCTTGAATGCTGGACACATCCCAGACCTGTAATTCCACCCAACACGAGTTTATCTGGACAGTGAGGAGACCGGGTCTTGGTGATGGGAGGTGGAATTCAATCTACCCTGGCATCTCTGTTCACCCAGCTCATTTAAGCTGTCTTTTGCCGAAGTCCTACAAAGCCTGGAGTATAGCTCCTCTGCCTACTGCAAACCTGTCTGTTTCCTTATTCTGCCAGGCTTTTCCGGAACACTGGCCCTGCTACCAGAGCCTCAGGACCCCCCATGAGTGCTGGTAAAGTAAGTCCTGGATAGTGAAGCCCTGGCTGGTCCAGGAGTGAGCACTCTACCATGTCACCCATCCTTCAGTGCCTGCAGCAGTCCACCACAATGATGAGCCGCAGGAAAATCCTGTTATTGGTGCTAGGGTGTAGCACCATAAGCCTCCTCATCCACCAGGGGTCACAGCTCAGTTGGTAAGTGAGGGGTATGGTCCCGTAGGAGGTACTATAGTCCAAAGCAACCAAAAGGCTTCTCTGGGCTTCCCCCTCCTTCCTATAATCCAAAAGTACTTTCCATACATATCCTCTAGACAAATGGTTCTCAACCCTCTTAATGTTGCCACCCTTTAATACAGTCCTTTATGTTGTAGTGATCTCCAACCATAAAATTGTTTTTGTTGCTACTTCATAACTGTAATTTTGCTACTGTTATGAATCATAATTCAACTATCTGTGTTTTCCAATGGTCTTAGGAGACCCCTGTGAAAGGGACGTTCAACCCCAAGGTTAAGAACCACTGCTCTAGAGCCAGACTGGCGAAGAAGACTCGACTCTGTAAACTGAGTGAATTGCTCAGTCAAAGAATTAGTTAGCCAGTATTTGAATCTAGCCTGAGTCTTTCCCACAGTATCACAGCTGAATGCTTCCTCAAAGGGTTGCACACATTTTGTGTGGCTTTGTTCTTTTGAGACACCTTCTGACTTTGTAGCCTTAATTTTTTTTTCAAGAATTTTTTTTTTCGAGCCACAGGATTTCTCTGTGGCTTTGGAGGCTGTCCTGGAATTAGCTCTTGTAGACCAGGCTAGTCTTGAACTCACAGAGATCTGCATGCCTCTGCCTCCCGAGTGCTGGGATTAAAGGCGTGTGCCACCACCACCCAGCTGTAGCCTTAATTTTTAAAGCTGTGTTTTACAACCAAGAAGCTCCTCCTGAAACTATTTAGACCAAGCTGGCCCCAAACTCACAGAGATTGGCCTGCCTCTGCCTCTCTAGTGCTAGGATTACAGGTATATACCACCACACCTAGATACCAAGTTTATGAAGTGCTAGAGATCAAACTCACAGCCTCAAGAATGCTAGGCAAGTATTTTACCAATTGTAAATCCTAAGTCCTTTGAACAAATTATTAGTCCATTAACTGGGGCATAGTCCTTCATTTCTGAGCTCATGTCCTCACCTATAAAATGTGTGACCCTCTGGTCATCCTGACAGAGGGAACCATGCAATGAGAATTGGTCTCTTTTCCTGATTCCCTATGTGAGCCCACCAAATCCCTGCGTCTTTCAAGGTGTCAATTTCCCCCATATTCCACATAGTTTCCTGAGAATAGTATAAATAGACCCAGTGTCACCTGCCAAAGGATTTGCTGGTTTTATAGATGATGTCTGTATAGACATTATCCTGAGCCCAAACCAGCTAAACAGGAAATCCCCATGGTGTTCTTAAGCTGCTTAGAGTTGCCGTTATCACTTGATGATTAAGACAGTTCAGAAGAATCAGGAGTGATTCAAAGCCTATCCGCATCTGATAGGTAACAAGTATTCTAAACATCCTTGCTTCCGGATCTAGGAACAGAAGTAAAGATGCCATAAGGGCTATACTCAAGTTTAGAAGGATACCTACCACAAAGCAAAAGCCCAAGAAATGCACACATAAATAAATGAGTGGATCTCCAAAAACCTTAATAGAAACATGCAAAGTCTGATGTTAACCCCCCATTCAAAGTGATAAACCAGCCGGGCATTGGTGACACACACCTTTAATCCCAGCACTCAGGAGGCAGAAGCAGGCGCATCTCTGTTGAGTTCGAGGCCAGCCTGGTCTCCAAAGCAAGTGCCAGGAAAGGCTCCAAAGCTACACAGAGAAACTCTGTCTCCAAAAACCAAAAAAAAAAAAAAAAAGTGATAAACCAGTTAAAAAAGAGAAATGAGCAAGACAGAAAAAGATGTGGTGACTTGAGTTGGCTCCAGATTCTCCGTAGGTCCTCAATTTCTATACATTTAAAGTAAGATCTCTCAAGGATCTTCAAGGGCTGTTGGCCTTTACACTATTTCTGCATTTAAAGTTTACCTTAGGCCGGGTAGTGGTAGTGAACAACTTTAATCAGAGCACTCAGGAGGCAGAAGCAGGCAGATCTCTAAAGTTGAGGCCAGCCTGGTCTACAAAGCAAGGTCTAGGATAGCCAGGGCTACACAGAAACACAGAGAAACCTGTCTCAGAAAAAAATTACTTTAGATAGAGCCAGGCATGGTAATATACACCCTAAATTTCAGCACTAGGGTGGCTGAGGCAAGCAGATCTCTAATTCAAGGCCAGCCTGGTCTACACAGCAAGTTTCAAGACAGCCAGGTCTATATATTGAGACAGTCTCAAAACAATTTTTTGTTTGTTTGTTTGTTTTGTTTTGTTTCAAAACAATTTTTAACCTTAAAACTTAGCAGAGAAGGCTGGAGAAATAACTCAGAGGTTAAGAGCACTGGCTGCTCTTCCAGTGGTCCTGAATTCAATTCCCAGGAACCACATAGTGGCTCACAACCATCTATAATGGGATCTGATGCCATCTTCTGGTGTGCAGGCAAACATGCAGACAGAACACTGTATACACAATAAGTAAAATAAAACTTAAAACAAAATAAGCTTAGCAGAGAAGCCAGGTGTTGGTGACTCATGTGTGTAATTCCAGCACGCAGAATGCTGAGACAGAAGGATCACAAATTCAAAAGCAGATTGAGCTCAGCAGGTCAAAGTGTTTTCCAAGCAAGTTTGATGACTGGAGTTCCAGCCATAGATCCCAAGTGAAAGGCCAGGTGTGATGACTCACATCTTTAATCTCAGAACTATTTTTTCTTTCTTTCTTTTTAAGGAAAGGTATCTTTATGTAGCCCTGGCTGTCCTGGAATTATGTATACCAGGATGGTCTCTAGCTCACCGAGATCTGTCAGCTTCTGCCTCCAGAGTGGGATTAAAGTGTGTACCACTACTGCCTGACTAATCCCAGAACTCTTTTTTTCTAATATATAATTCTTTTATGTTCATTGGTGTTTTGTCTACATGTATGCCTGTATGAAGGTGTCAGAAACCCTGGACCTGGATTTACAGATTGGTGTGAGCTGCCATGTGGGTGCTTCAAATTGAACCTGGGTCCTTTGGAAGAGTAGTCAGTGCTCTCAACTGCTGAGCTATCTATCCAGCTTCAAATTCCAGAACCCTTAAGGAGAAATGGGAGATGGAGACAGGAGAATCAGCTAGGAGGGCACAGTCCAACTAGCCTGCCATACTCAGTAGAGACAGAAACAAGAGAGTCTTAGCCTCAACAAAGTAGAAAGAACAAATTCCCCAAAACGTCCTTTGAGCTTCACACGCACATACTTGTGCATACACACACCCTAAATAAGTTAATAAAAATTAAAAAACAAAGTCCTCAAAACAGCTACTGAAAGCAAATAACATTTATTCTCTTTCCAATTCTGGGAGTCATGAATCCAAATGTGGCTAAAAACTCCGGATTCCAGGCCTTTTGTAGATTTTCAGTCAAGGTGTCTTCCAGATGTATAGCCTCTTCTGAAGAACTGATTACAAGGAATCTGAAAAGTTCATTCAAGTAGTTTGGCACACTTTAGTTCTTCAAGCAGACTGATGGACTTGGGTCTCCGTTTCTTTGGGACTGGCATCATGGGGTTTCTACCTAACTGCCCTCAGTCTGCTGCCTTCTTCTAATATAAATTATCCTGGCCAATCAGTGGTGGTGCAGACTGAGATACAGAGCAAGTTCCAGGCCAGCCAGGACTACACAAAGAAACCCTGTCTTGAAAAACAAAAAAATAAACAAATAAATAAATAAGCAAGCAGTCCTGGAAGATAGTAAGAGAAAAATCAGTAGTCTTTCCCAGCTATAAATTTAGAGGTGGCTGGGTGGTGGTGGCACATGTCTTTAATCCTAGCATGCAGGAGGTGGAGGCAAGTGGATATCTGTGAGTTTGAGGCCAGCCTGGCCTACCGAGTTCCAGCATAGCCAGGTCAACAGACAGAAAACCTGTCTTGAAAAAAACAAAAATAAAATAAACTCAGCGAAGATACTTCATCATTTCTACCCTATTCTGTTGCATACAGTATATCAGTTAAGTCTAGCCCTGCTCAATGGAAAAAGAATATATGTAAGGGTGCCACTATCAGATCACCATGGGTATCCAGGCTCATCTTTTATTTTTCTTTTCTTTTCCTTATTTGTTTTTTGAGGCAGGGTTTCTCTGTGTAACAGCCTTGGCTGTCCTGGAGCTCCCTCTGTAGACCAGGCTGGCCTCGAACTCACAGAGATCCGCCTGCCTCTGCCTCCCGAGAGCTGGGATTAAAGGTGTGTGATACCATGCTCCCCGGGTTACTACCCCCTGAACCGTCCACACCCACCCCGCAAAACAAACAAACAAACAAAAAAAAAACCTTTATTTGTATATGGGTGATTTTGCATGCAGTGCCATCTGAGGCCAGAAGAAGGCATTGGGTCCTGTGGGATTGGAGTTACAGACAACTGCTGCCAAGTGGGTTGTGGGAATTGAGCCAGAGACCTCTTAAAGGGGCAGCAAGTGTTCGTAGGGCTCATCATAAAGGCTACCTGCCACCTCATCTCTCCCATCACAGAATAAAGCCCTGGCTGGTCCACTTTTTCCACACTGGCCACACTTGTCCCCAAAACTCGCTGCACCCTGGCCACTTTCTCCTCTCTCTCTCTCTCTCACACACACGCTGGGCTTTGCAGGTACCCTAAGCTGTTCCCTCTGAGCTGCCCGCCTCTGCGAGAATCACCGCCCCGTGCCAAGCACACGGCCGTGGCCTTCCTGAAGACTCACAAGACAGCGGGTACCACGGTGCAGAACATCCTGTTCCGCTTCGCAGAACGGCACAACCTCACCGTGGCCCTGCCTCACCCCAGCTGCGAGCACCAGTTCTGCTATCCGCGAAACTTCTCGGCCCACTTCGTGCACCCGGCCACGCGGCCCCCGCACATGCTGGCCAGCCACCTGCGCTTCGACCGCGCCGAGCTGGAGCGCCTCATGCCTCCGGACACGGTCTACGTCACCATCCTGCGCGAGCCCGCCGCCATGTTCGAGTCGCTCTTCAGCTACTACAACCAGTACTGCCCGGCCTTCCGGCGCGTGCCCAACGCGTCTCTCGAGGCTTTCCTGCGCGCGCCCGAGGCCTACTACCGTCCCGGGGAGCACTTCGCCATGTTTGCGCACAACACGCTGGCCTACGACCTGGGAGGCGACAATGAGCGCAGCCCTCGCGACGACGCAGCCTACCTGGCGGGCCTCATCCGCCAGGTGGAGGAGGTCTTCTCGCTCGTCATGATCGCAGAGTACTTCGACGAGTCCCTCGTGCTGCTGCGGCGCCTGCTGGC